ATAATAAAAATCTCCTATACAAAAAAAGGCCAGGACCTAGATGGTAGATTCACTGCTGCAGAATGCTACCAAACATTTAAAGAAGTTTCAATGCTTATTCTCTTCAAACTATTCCCCCCAAATAAACTCAGTCTATGGGGTCACCTTTATCTTGTTACTAAAACCAGATTAGGACACACCAAAATAAGAAAACTATATGCCAATATCCTTGATAAACACATTTGCAAAAATCTTCAACAAAATACTAGCAAGCCAAATTCAACAACACATTAAAAAGATAATTCATTATGGTCAAATGGAATTCACCCCAGAGATGCAAGGATAGTTCAAGATATGCAAGTCAATAAATGTGGTAGATCACATTAACAGAATTAAGAACAAAAACCACACATTCATTTGAATAGATGCCAGGAAAGCATCTACTATTTGTTGAAATTAAACATTTTTTAATGATAAAAGCTCTCAACAAAATGGATATAGAACAAATGTACCTCAAAACAATAAAGGCTGTATATGATAAACTCACAGTTAAAATTACAATGAACAGGGAAAAATTGAAAGCCTTTCCTCTAAGACCTGAAACAAAACAAGGATACCTATTTTCACCACTTTTATTAAATATAGTACTGGAAGTTCTAGCCAGAGCAATTAAGCCAGAGAAAGCAATAAAGGCCATCTAAACTGGCAAGGAAGAATTCAATTTAACCTTATTCACAGGTGATATGATCTTATATTAAAAAAAACCTAAAAGCTCCACCCCAAAATTATTAAAACTGATAAATGAATTCAGTAAATTTGCAGAATACAAAATCAACATACAAAAATCAGTAGCATTCATACATGCCAGTAGCTAGCAATCTGAAAAAGAAAATCAAGAAAGCAGGAAAAATTTTAAGTAAAAGTGAGAAAAAACCTCTACGATAAAAATTATAAAACACTAGTGAAAAAAATTGAGGTGGATCCAAAAAATAAATATGCTTGATGTTCACTGATTGAATAATTAATATTGTTAAAATTTCTGGCCGGGCGAGGTGGCTCAGCCTGTAATTCTGGCACTTTGGGAGGCCAAGACAAGAGGATTGCCTGAACCCAGGGGTTCAAGACCAGCTTGGGCAACTTGGTGAGACCTTGTTTCTACAATAACCACAAAAATGAGCTGGGCGTGGTGGCATGTGTCTGTAGTTCCAGCTACTTAGAAGGCTGAGGCAGAAGAATCGCCAAAGCCTAGCAGGTGGCAGTGAGCATGCCACTGCACTCCAGCCTGGGCAACAGAGTGAGACTCCAACTCAAAAATAAAAAATAAAATAAATAATATAAAAAAATTCCATACTACCCAAAACAATCTAAAGATTCAATGCAATCCATATCAAAATATCAAGGACATTCTTCACAGAAATAGAAACAACAATCTTAAAATTTATATGGATTCACAAAAGACTATGAATAGTTAAAACAATCCTCAGCAAAAAGAACAAAGCTAGAGGCACCCCACTACTAGACTTCAAAATATGCTAACTACAAAGGTATGGTAAGCAAAACAGCATGGTGCTGGAATGAAAACAGACACATGGGTTAATGGAACAGAAAAGATAACCCAGAAATAAATTCACACATCTACAATTTGAGAAAGGTGCCAAAAGCATACACTGGAGGAACGGACAATCTCTTCAATAAATGGTGTTTGGAAAACTGGATATCTATGTGCAGAAGAATGAAACTAGACCTCTATCTCTCTCCATATTTAAAAATAAAATGAAAATGGAAGTTATGACACTACTAGAAGAAAACATTTGGGAAATGCTTCATCACATTGATCTGGGCAAGATCTCACATTTTTTGGGTAAGATCTCAAAAACACGGGCAATAAAAATAAAAATAAATAAGATTATTTAAACCCAAACTTCTACACACCAATGAAAACAACAAATAGACAGAAACAATCTGAAGAATAGGAGAAATGATCTGCAAACCATCCATCTTAGAAGGGTTTAATAACCAGAATATATCAGGAACTCAAACAACTAAATACTAAAAACTCAGATAATTTAGTTTTAAAATGGGCAAATTATCTGAATAGACATTTCACACAAGAAGACATACAAATGGCCACCAGATATGCGAAAAAAGTTCAATGTTAGTAATTATCAGGGAAATGCAAATCAAAGCAAAATGAGATGTCTTACCCCAGTTAAAATGTCTATTATCAAAAAAGGCAAAAAAATAACAAATGCTGGTGAGGAAGTGGAGAAAGGGAAACACTAATACACAGTTGCTGGGATTGTAAATTAGTACAGCCACTATGGGAAACAGTATGAAGTTTCCTCAAAAGGGTAAAAATATATCTACCATATGACCCAGCAATCCCACTGAACTTGTATCCAAAAGAAAGCAAATTAATATATCAAAGAGATATCTGCACTGTCATGCTTACTGCAGCATTATTCACAATAGATGAGATATAAAATCGTGCTAGGTGTTCACTAATAGATGAATGGATAAAGAGAATGCGGTATATATACACAATGAAATATTATTCAGCCATAGAAAGAATAAAATTCTGTCATTTGCAGCAACATGGATAGAACAGGAGGACATTATGATAAGTTAAATAAACCAGGCACAGAAAGACAAATATCACATTATCTCATTCATAAGTCTGAGCTATAAATGTTGATTTCACAAAGGTAGAAAGTGGAATGATAGTCTGGGAACGGCAGTGGGGAGGAGGAAATAAAGAGAGGTTGGTTAATGAGTACAAAAATATGGTAAGACAGAAGGAATACATCCTAGTATTTGGTAGTACAATAGGGTGATAATAGTTAACAGTAATTTATTGTATATTTCAAAGATGGAAGAGAAGGTTTGGAGTGTTACCAGTACAAATAAATGATAAATATTTGAGGTGATACATAGTCTAATTATCCAGACTTTATCATTACACATCATATGCATATATCAAATATATCACATGTACCCTATAAATATGTACACTTTTGTATCAGTAAAAAAGCTAAAAGCAAAATCTTATTAGCTGAATTCATCAAGGAGAATAAACATAGAATTATAAATGACCACTCATTTGCTGGTATGACCAGATAGCATACACTCTTAAAACTGAGTCTAAAAATAATTTATCTATTTCTGAATATGTTTATTGCATACAATTTGATAGACGATAAATTACATTCCTTTAAAATTTATATAACTTTAATTACAACTAATATCAAATATTTCTCATGTCTATTTTCATTGTTCCTTTTGTATTTTTCTCAGAATTATCTCTTTCTGACCTTTGCCATTTTTCTTTGTTGTCATACTTGTGCTCTGAAAGTTTTCAGATTTCTAACTGTCTTCCTTAACTAATCCCTGCCACTTGGTTCCTACATTCAATAAATCACTAGGTATGTTCATTCTGTTTCCTAAATATCCCTCAAATCTGTTTCTATTGCTTCATCTTTGTGGTCCTGTCTTGGCTCACCCCGTATCGTCCCTTCCTGGCAAGGCATCAGCTCCCAACTGTTCTTTCTGTCTCTAATCTTGGTTCTTTCCATCCTTCTCCACATGGCAACTGGAGTGATCATCTTAGAGTACATGTTACATCCCTACTTAAAACCCTTTCAGGTCTTCTTATCAACCACAAAGTAAAGGTCTAAGTCACCTAACACAGCACCTGAAGCCTCTGCTGACTCTTGCTAGCTGCCTCTTTCTCCACTCTTTTTCTTATGCTTTCTCTACCGCGATAGTGACCACTTGCGTGATATAAAACTCACTTCTGTACGGTTTCATCTCCCAGCATTTGCATAGGCTGCCACCTTTTCCTCAGTTGCCCTTCTGTCCCCTTGCCTAGCTGACATTTCATCCTTTAGGCTCCACTTAAAGCCACTACCCCTAGGACCCTTCTACAAAATGAATGGATTTCCTTGCCCCATGTCACCCTGTGCCCACCCCCCTTGTAACATATCACATTTTATGATCTTTGCCCATTTATGTGTCTATCTACGTGTGCAAATTCCTTTGTCTTGTGCACCGTTTTATTCCTGGTGCCTACCACAGTATCCTTCTCATAGTAGATACCAGAAAGACATTGGCCAAATAATAACAAGTGCTTCCTCACTAAACATTTATTGAATCCTCACTAAATGTCAGATATGTGCTAAAGTGGTTTGCACCCTTTATTGCATTTAATTCTCACAATGACTCCCTTGGGTGGTTAAGCTCAGTTGACAGGTCCTTCAAATGTAAAGGTCATTACACCTTTATTATTCTATTTGTTGCAAATATTTTCTCCAGGTTTTGACGTCTTCTGATTTTGTGGATGATTTGTTTATCTTGAAGACTAGAATCTTTTAATTATTAAATAGTAAAATCATGGCCCTGTCACGATTTTTTCCATGAATTATGCTTTAAAAACTTTACATTTTTAAGTTCAATCGGTCACCTATATTATTCTATTGTTGATAGTTTTACTTCTTTAAATTTAACTCTTTAAACCCTTTAGAACTTAGTTTGTCTGGATAGAGTATGTGATGAGGGACTATTTTCTCTCCCAAATGGCAAACTTTCCTAAAACCATTTATTGGAAAACCCAGAGCTTCCTGGTAGGTTATGATACTTATTATTTATTATTTATAACATTCTTTTATGCTTATAGCCTGTTTGGGGGCTTTTGCTCCTTAATTATGTCAACTCTTGAACTATTACCATGGTGTTTTAAAATTTATTTTTTATTTGGTAGTGTAAGACCTGCTTCTGGTGTAACCTATTTCCCCCGACAATTTTTCTTTTCAACATTATCTTGGTTGATCTCAGTTACGGGTTGTTTTTTTTTAAGACTATTTGAAATTTTTTCATCCTTGAAACATTTGCTGGGATAATTCTTTAAAAATAAATATACTACATGTTTATTATACAAACTCAGGAAATGTAGAAAATTGAAATAAATAAAATCTAGAAATATTAACTTTTTTTTGTTTCTTTTGGTTTCACTCTCGGGAAATACAAGTCACAGGGTTGAGATAATTTTGCAGCACACCTTAGTATCTTGCTTCCACCTCCACTCCCCAAAGTACCTTGTAAGTATTTTCATATCTGATTACATTTTTAAATCATGAATTTTAATCTTTTGCATGATATTCACTAATATAAAAGTCTGAAAATCTATTTAATGATTCCATTACTGGTAGATGTTTAGGTTATTACCAATTTTTCTCCCTTTAAACAGTGTTGTAATGAAAATCTGTGTAAATAGATTTTTGTTCACATTTGATCCTTTCCTTAGGGTATATTTCTAAATCTGGGTCAACAGGTATGAACAATTTTAAGCCTCTAAATTGCTTTTTAAAAAGATTGCACCAATTTAAACTCTCGCCAGCAGAGTCTGAAGATGTCAGTTTCCACTGTATTCTTGACAAAACTTGGGTATTATTACTTCATTGAGATTTTCATTGGGGTTATGTTAAATCTATAAATCAATTTAGAAAGAATTGCCTTCTTTACAATATTGATTCTTTTCTTTCAGGAAGATGGTGTGTCTCTATTTAATTAAATCTTTGCTTTATACCTCTCCGTGAAGTTTTGTTGTTTTCTTTATATAAATCCTGCTCATTTCTTCCCAGGATTACTTCTGGGTTTATTATTGTAGTTTTTTCCCCCCTTTTCTTTTTGGTTATTGTGAATGCCATTTAAATACTTTATATCTTCTACTTATCCCAAAGTGTGTCTTATAAGCGTTTGACCCTCCAGATTCTCTGCAAAAAAAAACAAGGAGCTCTATGTTCAAACTGGTTTGGGAAAGGCCTATGACCTTCAATTACAAATTTTCATGACACATTCATAAAATCTTGAGAAGTCCTATTATTGTAAAGGAACCTGTTTAACATTATTTATTACTGCATCCAGCACATACCAGACTTATTTGATCATGGAAAGTTTACTTTTTATATAAAAAATAAAATTTTAATGTAGAATCTGTTCTCATTTTGAGCTGATTTTGTTGAGCCGAATAGTCTAGGGTTGTAACTATACTCTTTGCTGTGTAACTCTGGAGTGCTCTTCTGCTTTGACTCTGAGCTTGACCATGCGACTTGGCCATTGGGATGGCAGCAAAAATAAAGTACATAGAAGATTTACAAGTGGGCTTGCATGCTATAGCAGACTGCTATGTGCATGAGGAAGATATGCCTGTGGCAGCCTGAGGGAGGATAAGACACGTGGAGCAGAGCTGAGTTGTGCTAGTCCTAACTAGATCATCCAACAACCAACCAACCTTCTTCAAGAAAGCAAACTCAATCAACACCAGAAGAACCACTTAGGTGGCCTTCAAACTCATAAGCTAAACAAATGATAGCTGTTTTAAGCCACAGAGTTTGGATGTGGCTTGTTACACAGCCAATATTATTGTGACAACAGATAGCCGATATATTCACTCTGAGCAGGTATGATGTGGACAGTTGGTTTAAGCTTGACAGTCTTAAGTATATTAAGCAAATTCTCTTTCATTATTATTTTTCTAAATGGTTTTTAACCAAAAATGTTATTGAATATAACTTTGGGGGTGGCCACTGAGATTATTTTAAGCTTTCTAATTGATGTGGTATTTTATATTAATACAACTTGGCGAGACCTCATCTCTACAATAAATCAAAAAATCAGCCGGGCATGGTAGCGCATGCCTGTAATTCTGGCTACTCGGAAGGCTGAGGTGGAAGGATCGCCAGAGGCCAGCAGGTCGAGGCTGCGGTGGCCGGGAGCGGCCATTGCACTCCAGTCTGGGCGACAGAGTGAGACTCCAACTCAAAAAAAAAAAAAATTCCTGACAGTAACCTGTCTTGGCCTTTTTAAGATGACTCGTTCTTGGTAACAGTTGATCATGCTTTTAATGTACTATTAAATTCCATGTGCTATTATTTTCCTTAGAGACTGCATCTATATTAATAAGTAAAATTAGTGTATGGATTCCTAATGTGGTTGATCATTTCCATTTTTGGTATAAGGCATATGTCAACTTTATAAAATAACCCAGTTAACTTTTTTCTTTCCCTAAACTCTGGATCACTTTTTATAACATGGAAATTGTCTAATCCTTAAAAGGCTAATAGAGTTACTTGATAAAACTATCTGGTTATGGAAACTTTTTATAATTTGTTACTTATTTAATAGTTTTATTTTCTTTTTAATTTAACTCTGATTATTAGTCTCAAGGTTTTCTACTTATTTTTAATTAATTGTTTAGAAATTCAAATGACTTTTGTGATGGCGAATAATATATATTTTGCATTTTATGTCTTTTTGAAAGTTCCCTTTTAATCATTTTGGAACAAAATCAGATATAACAAATAAAAACCAGCCATTTATTTCTGTAACTACAACTTAATGTCAGACCTAATACAAGTTTACATCTTGATGTGACCTCATATTTCTGTATATAACAATATGGTTGCCCTTGTGGTAATCACGTTTCTAGCTTTTTGGTAGGTGAGTGGCGAGAACACTATCTGACAGCAGTTTGATATACTTTTTATAGTTGGGGAAGACAGGCTGATAGAAATAATGTGGATTCATATATGTTGGAATTTGGAATACTTTTACATGATTCTGACCATGATGTAAGAGAATACTTAAAAGCAACTGTTCTAAAAATCCTAGAACCAGATTGTCATGTTTATTGGCCTAAGTTATGGCTAACACAGGAACTGAGGTTTGATAGACAATGTGTGAGAGCATCTGTTGCTGACCTATTTCCCCAATGGCTTCAAAATAACAGAGAAAGGCGGGACGCTTATTATACACAAAGCAGGATCTAGCTCTATGACCTGCAGGCTCTGCTGAGCTCTGCTAATTGTTCAGTCCTCAGATTTCAGACACCTTGTTTTACTAACAGCCATAGCAAATATTTATATGGTGCTTACTATGTGTCAGGCACTACTCTAACACTATTGTCATATCCATTTTACTGATTAGGAAAGGAAAGCACTGGAAGGTTACATAACCTGTCTATACTCTCCTGCTTGTGAATAGCTATGTGAAGATTCAAATTCAGGCATTTGGACTCCATGGTCTGTGCAGTTAGTCACTCTACAGTTTCACTTCTCAATCTTTCTCATTTCATCTTATTTTCTATCTGTTCACCAGAGCGGTGTTGTACTTTTAATAAGTATTGGCTACTGTAGATTTACTGATAGATGAGAACAGAAGAAGTGAAAAAAGACAGAAAACAAGTTAAAGAGGAAAGAGTAACATGGTCTCTTGGGGACAACTGGTAAATTCTGAGTTGAGACTGAAATCCCAGCCATTTAAAAATATATAAATAATAAAATATTCTTCTCTCTCTCTTTTTTTTTTTTTTGAGTTGGAGACACTCTGTCACCCAGGCTAGAGTGCAGTAGCACTCTCACCGCCACCGTAGCCTTGATCTGCTGGGCTCAGGCGATTCTTCCTCCTCAGCCTTCCAAGTTACTGGAACTACAGGCACGCTACCACTCTCAGCTATGTTTTTTAAAAATTATTATTGTAGAGATGAGGTTTCACCAGGTTGACCAGGCTGGTCTCTAGCCCGTGGGCTCAGGCAATCCTCTCACCTCGGCCTCCCAAAGTGCTGGAATTATAGGCGTGAGCCACTGCACCCAGCAGTCCTCGTTTTTATTGTGAGGATTTTTTGAGCAAAAGGTTTATCACATAATTAACACTCTATGGGCACTATTAATAGCTAATTATAATAAATTATGATAGATAATGACCATAAAACCAAGCTTCCGATGACAACTCGCTCTGTGACCTTGTTCAAGTCACTTTGCTTCCTGAACCTCAGTTTGATAGAGGACAGCCTCATGGCTCTGTGACCACGTGATCTGTGGCCCTCAGTGGAGACTGAGCAGGAGAGAGAGAGAGAACACAAAGGACATGGTCTCTGCTAAGTGGGGCACCTATTTAGGGGAGTTGAAGGACTCTTCCTGCTCATGGGCATAAGGGTAGCTGTTGGTCTGGCTCAACTCACTTACCCCAAATGTCTTGGCGATAGAGAACCTGAGAGGAGGGTGAGGATGGTGTCCATAGTGACTTTTTTCCATGTCACTCAATACCTGCAGGCCCATCAGGAATAGGACTGATGGACTGAGCAAACAAATAGACAAAAAAACCCAGGATGCCCGGTTGAAGTTGAATTTCATATAAACCATGAATAACCATTTAGTGTAAGTGCATCCCAAATACTGTATCAGATGTACTTATACTCAGCAATTTTTTATTATTTAATCTTAGTTCCCTGGGCTTTCCTGCCAATGTCCAGATCTCCCAGGTGGGAAGACTCAGGTCAATCTACAACAGACCTAGTTTTCTCCTTTATTCAAAGACCTGAGTCCTAGAATCTCTATCTTCCCCGCTCTTCTTCTTTGGGAGAAAATGACAGAATAACTAAATGAAGAAATTTGTTTGCCATAAATTACCAAGAGAAGAACCTCTCCAGATTCAATAAGGAGACTATTATATCTTGAGTAAAGAACAATTGATTATTCCAAACAAACATACCAGACTGTGGTTTAACGAAAATCTGTATCTATAACCTGTTGTATTTGTTAAGTCAGAAGTAAATATGTTCTTAATAACCAACTGGTATTTATTTAATGTACAATAACTCGCCTGCTGAGCTTAAATGAAATGCACAGTTAATTAAAGCTATCTCTGCACCAAGTCCTCTAGGGAAAATCTTTTACACACACTCTGACTTGGGATTTTTTTTCCACCTCGCTTCTCAACCCAGCCCCTGTTGGTAGATCTTCACATGATCTGTTTGGCGGTCTGCAGACATTTTTGCTGGACAATTTTCATCTTGCCCAAGGATATGGAAACTCCACTTATTTACCCAGAGTTGAGAAATCTTCGGAGAGGCTCCAAGGTAAGGTTGTACAGGTTTGTACCCCAAGCCCTGCTGTGGCCACTCAGAGGTGGTGGTTGCACCGTAGTATGCCAACTAACTCGAGGTTCAATCTGGGCCTTTCGCTTTGCCTGAGCTTGAGTTTTCCCAATCTGTGAAACAAGTATAATGTCTAAGGTCTTTGACTGACAGGTCAGAAAGGAGTCTGCGCGGGATTGGAAAGCTTAGGCTAAACTTAATGTCTCTTGTGCCTGTTTCTCCTGCTGTGTGAGCCCAGATTTGGTGCTGTTTGGAGATGGTTTTGAGGTGTTTGCTTATTTATTCACACTTTCATTTTCTCATATTCCTCAAGTATTAATCCCTAAGTGTCTACTGTACCCAAGCCTCATGAACACTATGATTTGGGAGACAAAGTCTCACTCCCAGCTGTGTGTCTTGCAGATGTATAAATTTGAATTTATGCAATTCAAGGAGTCATTTCTCTCCTCTGAGTTTGTTTCCTTTTCTGCAAAGTGGGGATAGTGCCTTCCCTACAAATCACTGAATGGTTGTGAAGTTCAAATGAGACAATATGTGCGCAAATGCTTTCAAAAGTGTAAAGAATTAACATATAGATGTATATTTTCCTCAATAGCGGTAGTTCCCGAGAGTTCCACACTGGATTTGCAGATCTGCGGAACGCTGAGGACCTGAGCATGACAACCTGTGAATGCTGGGCAAGCATGGTGGGCCAGGGGAATGGAAAGCTCAACTTTCCAAAAGACCCCTGGGGGTGAGAGTCAGCCAAATAATTAATAAAGTCTGATGTTCTTGCTGGATGTAGAGAATAGAAAATACTTTCAAAGCCATGACCTCATTTGATGTTTATAGCAGCCCTATGCGGATGATAGTGCAGGCATCCTCTTTTCCATTACAAGAGAAAAGAAAATGAGTCCCTAAGAAGAGAAATGACTGACCCAGGTCTCTCTACACACAGTTGTCAAAACCAGGACCAGCACACAACTCTTCTCTTTATACCATGGTTGCTCTTAAGAGAACAAGTCTATTCCCCATCAAACTGAGGATCTGAGGACCTGGCTACACACAGACTTCTGGGAGTATGTGCATTGGGGGTGGGGGACCCCGTGAGCAAATTAGGGAAAGACCTATTCCATGGCGCAGAGCTTAGGGCTTAGGGCAAGTGAGTTAGGGCTGGATCTCAGACCCCCTCTGTCCTAACTGGATGCTCTTAAGTAGAATACAAGTGTAGCAGGAGCATGTAGTGGTACTAGGTGGGTGGTGGGGGGGGGGAGTCGACTGGGTTGGGTTGCCACTAAAGGATGCTGACCTTTTGGGGACCACCCCAGGTTTCCCTGATGCTGTGACTGTCTCCACCCTGCTCTCAGAGGGTATGATGGAAAGTTAATATTCGATTGCTGTGGGAAGCCGTTAGCCAACTGCAATTACTAGGGTGTGTAGATATTAGGGGCTGATGCAATTATTATTCTGAGGTAAGGGGGAGGGAACACACTCAGCAAGGTTTTGTGCTAATGTTTTTTTTTCCCCTTTGCCTCTCAAATTTTCTGCAGTAATCAGTTAGACTAATCTCTGCTGGTCTCTGGGATGAAGCTCCTCCCATATCCCTTCTGACAACAGTGGGGCTCAGGGACCCAGAGGGGACCTCTAGAACTGCCCAGTCTGTACTGGGACCACTGAGTTTTGCCTTTTCTGATCTCAGAGCAGGAGGGTGGGAATGAAGATACCTTTCTCCGGTTGTAGCTGTGTCTCTGAAACAATTCAGGGGCCCTGTAACTTTTTTGCACTCTCTGGACCTCAGATTGCCATCTTGAAATTGAGAAGGTGGGGAAAGATGACTTCCAAGGGCACTCTATCTCTGAGTGTATTTTATGTCTCAGGATTCTTGCCCCATATAAGAAATGCCAGATCTAGGCCTTGATGACAAGCAAAGAGATGGTCGGTAGGCTCAGGGAGGAGCTGCACGTGGCTTTAAAAAGTTTTAATTATTTAAAACGAAATGAAATGAAAATTAAATGAATATTTCAGTCCCCTCATCGCACTAGTTACACACACTTCCAGCGCCCAGTGCTTGTATGGGCTTGTGGCTACCATGTTGGAGAGAGCAGAGTCAGAGTGTTTTCATGATTGCAGAAAGTTCCATTGGATGGCACTGAGGATGACCAATCATGCATGCCTGGGCAGAGGGTGAGAGAGAGAAGGGAGGTTTGGGATCTATGTAGGCCTGGCTTGTGATCTTGGATCTGTCATTTAAAGTCATGTGACTTTGGGCAAATCCTTTAACCTTTCCGAACCTCTGTGCTATGGAAATTATAATACCATTTTGTGGAGCATTTTTAGTATTAAATTATTTTGAGCGTCATTATGTAGAATATTAAAATAAAGCAAATATGTAAAAGAGAGGTCAGTGGGACCAATGCATTATCATCGTTTTAGCAGTTTCTGCCCCAGAAAAGTGTCCTGCTGGGTCATCTTGAGAAGTGTTCGTGGAGATGACTTCTCTAAACCTTGACATGGCTCTTCTGCCTTGACATTTTAGTAACTAACTAAAGTGTTTGACTATGTTTTTCCTCCTCCCCCTCCTCCTTTTCTCTGTCTCCTTCTCTTTCTTCTACAAGGGGAGCTATTGACTTCCTATTTTTCCCTCCTCTTCTCGCCCCTCCCCTTCCTATTCCCATCTCCCTCATCTGTACCTGTCATCCTTCTAGGGTTGCCAATAAAAATACAGGACACAAGTTAAATCCACATTTCAGATACACAAAAAATCCTTTTTTTTTAGTGTAAGTATATCCCATGAAATATTTGGGACCTGCTTATACTAAAAAGTTATTTGCTGCTTATCTAATTTAACTGTGTGTCCTGTATTTAATCTGAGGCCCTACCCTCATCATTTACCATTGTTAGGACTCAATATCAGGTACAAGACCAGAGGGTGTGTGTTCAAGACCTGGGAAATAGGAGTTGGGCATCCTTTCACATTTGTGTGTGTCGTGCTCTATATCTGTTCATATGACTTGGGGTAGGGGGTGAGTAGAGGGAAACCATTCCACAGGCCTGAATGACTCTGAATCTGAGTCAGGACAGGACAGCGATGTCGTTTTTGTGGGTTTCTTTCTGTGTTCCCGCCAGTGAACCTATGTCTTTGTGTCACTAGTTCATCATCTTGATGTCCCACGAGGGAACAGAGGAAATTTCCTTCTTGATTTTGTCAGTTGACTGATGGTTTGACTGGATTTTTTTTCCCATGAGTGGGCCCGATGCATAAGATCTCAGCTTCGAGTCCATATGCCAGAGTGTGGGGAGGGGCTCCTGGCTCAGGAACACCATGAGATCCTGCTCCTTCTCCCATTCCATCCGAGTTCTTTAGAGGGTACTCCGAGTGGGTTCCCAGCCTGTGCCCCCATCTGTTTCACTTTGGTCTCCAGTTCCATCTTCTGCTTCACTGTGGGATCCAACCTTGGGTTATGTACCCTGAGTATATAGAGTGGAGGCTGAGGAAGGTCCTATCAGTGAACCTCTTGATGCAGTTCTCACTCTCTCTCCTAGTTATTTTCCTCTCCCCTTCCCCAGACCTCTTCTCATTTCTCCACCCCAGGTGGAAGTTGGTGAGGAGGTTGGGACAATACATCCCGACTCTATTAGTCATACAATTCATACAAGTCCTGCTTTTGAATTGTTTTGACCTCATGAGTTTTTGAATAGGCTTTGAAAATGACTCTTTCCATCTCCTTCCATTGTCCCCATACTCCCTTATAGGAATCATCTGTTTCCAGTTAATCTACTCATCGCTTCCAGTCATTTGACATCCATCTAAGCCTATGTTTTTTCATAAACACCAACCTTTCTTGCCTCTGCAGACACATTTCCTTCTCTAGTTTCTGCTTCCTGTCTTTCTGGTTCTGCTCATGCCCTTCCATTCCTAGGAAACCTGTGCCGGCCACACAGAGTCTGGCCAACTTCCTCAGTGTGTCCTCCTGCTAAGAATGTCTTCTCGGTCACCTCATGAACCTCTTAAGGAAAGGGACTGGCTCCAACCTTTAGAATTTCTGGTAACTGTTCAGTGTGCTTGCTGTACAAATATTTGGTGGGGAATAATAAAATAGCCAGGGGTCCCATAGAAAACATCCTACTAGTGTCGGGGGATGACGTGCCCCTTGAACTGGGCCATCTTGGGGAGAACATGAACACTCCGAATTGTATGAAGAGTTTTACTTATTGATGTATATACTTGTAGTTGAAGAATCTCATTTTCAAGTAAAATATCCTGTAGCGCCTCAGTGTACTGAATAGATACCAGCCCAGCTGCTAGGGTAAAGAGCAAGGGGGGGATCAGAACCAGTCCACTTTGTCCCTTGTCCCTAAGAAGGTCCTGCAGAAGAGACTTAAAGCTATCTCATGAGATGCCACATGCCCATCTATCTTGTCATGTTTGGGGAATCAATTCTTTGACCTCCTGGAATGTTCTCCCAGTGCTTGCTTGATGGTTCGGTTAAAACTAGACGTTGCCAATTTGTGCTGTGTTTCCCTTTTAATGCATTTTCCCCCAAAATCTTGTGGTGGGGACTTAAGACAAAACACAGAGGGTCCAGTATCTGCCGCCCTGCCCTCTCTCACTCTCTTGGAGCCCCGACTTCTACCTTGGCAGAAAGTTTCAGACATCACTGCAACTGCCTTACTTTGCATCAGTCCTGTTCCTCATCCTGGACTGTAAACATCAAATGGATCTTTGACAGATTGTGACACCCTCCAGGGCTGGAGAAATATTTTACCCATCAGGGAGGATGGCCTAATGAGCCTTCCTTTCAGAACATTTATTGAACTTTCATGGCACACCTGTCTGGGGGCTATGAATACACACCACCCCCTCCAGTAGGGGCTATCTGTGAGCCTCCGCTCCTCTCTCCTCCACTGGGCTGGTTCTGGTAGAGGATACAAAGGTTTGTAAGTAAAGCATAGGTAACAGCTCTCTTTCTGATGTTGCTCAGTATATGCTGCCCCTGGAAATGTCTGAGAGTAGAATCTGGCCAGGAAGGTGACATCAGATCTATCTTTCCTGCGAAGGCATCCAAGAAGTATAATTCTTTGTAGTCCATAGCCTGTTGCAGCTTGCAAAGCTTTTCCTGGTGCATTGTTCTCTGCTTTTCTTAGAAGGGTTCTGAGAGAGGTAGGGATGGTTGGCAGATGAATAAATTGAGGTAAAGTTTAAGTGAATTCCAAGCTAGTGATAATTCTGGGTCTAAAGCCCAGGATACAGCTATAAAGTAGGACCAATAATATTGAGGAACAATATTTCTTCCAGATTTTAAAGTATCTGCAGATGTTATCATAACTGCTTCACACATATCAACCCACTTACTCCTCACAACAAAACAGTGACGCAAGTACTATTTTTGTGTCCGATTTATAGAGGAGAAGGTAGAGGCACTGAGAAGTTAGCCACTTGCCCAAGGTAATGAGCTGGGAAGAGGCAGGGCTGGAGTTTGAATTCAGGCAATCTGGCTCCAATACTCTCTATGGCTGTTCCAGCAATTTTTGCCCTGCCTCCTTTGCAGAGTTGTCATAAAGTTCAAATGAGTCAATGGATGATAAAGCACTTGGAAAAGCATAAAATTATTATGCAAACACAAGGTGATTTATAGACAGGTTTGCTCCTTTGCCAGATACTGAGATGACAGTCAAATTTGACTTTTTAATTAATTCGGAGGGAAGCTTGTCAAGTGGAGGTAGGGTACACAGACTCAATCAGACTTTAGGAACATATCTGTCTTTCTTGATGTTTTCAGATGGCTTTTGGTTTTCTTTCTCACTAAATTCCAGAGCCCTGGTCTA